GTGACCAGGGTCACATTTCACTACATGTTGTATGTCTACAACTGTGTACATGACTAATAAACCTCTCGAATCTCTCTTGAATCTTGAATCTCAACTAGTTTTGTAACTAAATAATTATTTGATTATTATAATAATTTATGGGTCAGAGTCATTCGTGCAATGGTACAGTATAAAAATACATGATCCTATTAAACAGCTACTAAAATTAGGGTACAATCATTTAGTAATCAGTTGTAACCATTTAGTAACCATTGGACATCTATTTGAAAGCTGAAAACAAACATTTAAGCACTTAGGCAACCATTTTTAAATGATTGATATGTTTTGATATGTTTTGATTTTAAATGTACACAGAAATGTAACCAGAAAGTATCAACTGAACTTGTCAAGGAATACAAACCCAACTATAACCATTGAACCAACCGAGAGCTGCAGAATGGGGGTTTGTTTAGAGGATACACACATAAAAACATTATTAATACTGAAACTCTATAAAGGTTACATGAAGAAAACTACATATCAGGTACTTCAAAACAGTTCAAAAGTTCCAGCAAAAAACAGGCAAACGTGTGTGAGTGTGGGTGAGAGAGTAAGCATGTGATCGAGTAGGTGTGTGGGTGTGTGTGAGAGAGGGTGTGTATTGAATGAGTGTGTGTGTGTGTGTATTTTACAGTATTTTTAGACTACAAAAATACAAAACAACTTAAGTATTTTGATACAAAATATGAAATCATTTCCATCAATCCCATCAACTACAAATGACAAAAGTATGTATTTGAAATAGGTTTTTAAAATACATGTATCATAAATACTGCCCATCCTTGCCACTAGCCCATCAATCCACTGGCAAAATGCTTGGTATGCTAGATGACCAGTCCAGGCCTTGGTTGGTTAAAAAGCATTGTTATATTGATCATCATCAGCATATGTAAGTAAATGTCATTAAATAAGAAGAGCACAATCAAATTCTTTATTTCTTTACCTGAAAAATGTAGTCAGTCCAGAAAGACAAGCATTTCTATGGCAGCCTCAGAGGGATGTAGATTTGAATGTTACTTTTTCAACAGACACCCAACAAACTGCAGCTGCTGTGTCACCAAATAACTGAATCAATATATTTCCATCAAGGGAGATGTGTAACTGAACATCAAAGCTAATGTACATCATATGATCAAGGGCAAATGCTGTTTTGCAAAAGCTTCCCTTTAATTATATTTTGCAGAATTGCATATTCATTAGAGAATTCCTGTACATTAACTTTTCTATTTAGGTTTCTTTTAGAATGTCCAGTTTATGAAAAGCAAACTGAGCGAAAATGCTTCATAAAATGCATTTAAACATTAAAAGAAAATGCCATACGTACTATAAATATGTATTTACTAAAGACACAGAAGATGTTTCTCTGGAATTGGCCTGGTATGCATCTGGGTCCATCATGCTGCATACGTACAGTATATAAAATATTTCCATGTTAAATATTGAGAACACTGACAAGCTACTGGTTGTTTGTGACATATGCAAAATTATGCTTTGTTGTTATATGTCTCCTGCCTTTACTTAGGATTCAAATTATATAAATGAAGGTGACCTAGTTTTTCTTAAAGATATTGCACGTAGCTTTAGTCAAGCGAATGTATGTAGTACTGCTGATTTTTTGTTTCTTTCAAAGCCACCCCCCAATTTCCACTCTGTATTCTTCAGGAGGGACTCAGCAAACAGACAGTTTCAGGAAGAGTCATGCAGCTCAGTAACACTGAAGCTTACCTTATGAGCAATATCTGAAACTCTTCCAAATTTACATAATAATGCTCGGGTATTTTTAATACAGCACATTGTTTTACACAGAGATGTTCGTATGACAAGGAAAAGCTTGTTTGACTAATGCAGTTATAAAGCTGAGTAATATTTTTTGTCAATGACAGTTTTTTTTTGCAAATGTGGATGTTATTACAGTCATGCATGACAATGATCCTTCTGTCGCTTAATAAGACCCAGGATACAGAATTCTGATTTCTGTGCTGCTCTATTTCACTGTTAACTTACGAACACTTTTTTCAAAGCATTGCAGTGGTGTACCAGTAAGAAGTGTACATTCTTTGTACTGGTAAAATTCAAGGTTTTTGGAATTTCAAAATCACATGATTTTAATTGAATTTTAAATTTGAATTCACATGATTTCAAAGCCAGTGTAAAGATGTTATGCACCTCAGCCACATTCAAAGAGGACGTCCTGGATGAGTCTGTGTGAAAAGTATACAGTGCACTGGATTTGACAAATTAGCGGCACAGTTAGTCACTTTTATCCTTAGTGGAAATAGACAGATTTCTAACCAATTTTGAATAAACAGTATTATTAAAATGCAGTGAAACTGGAGCCATTTTTACATATTAATAATAATTTGTTAATCAGGCAATAAAGCGTTTAACTATAAGTGAGGTATCACAACAATGCCACACTGAAATGAAATGTATAAATAGCTGTCTTTTCATCCAACTGGTTCTACGTGTATGTGTGTCTGAAGATTACAGCCAGTCCAGCTAGACTCCTACCAACAGGGAACTTAATTATAACATTACAGTAGGTGAGGCACCGTCACGATTCTTTCAAGGCTACACAAAAGTAAATGCCAATGCGTGCACTCGAGAGTATTATTGCATGACCATATCAAAACACTGAATATGGGGATTCTGTTGTGGGTGTGAGTGTCACTGCAATGTGCTGCTATAATTTATAATGCATATCAATGGTTATTTGTAGACAGAGAGAATTAATAATGCCATTTCTGTCTCTTTACCTTTATATATTTGAGAATAGATGTCTGAACATAGTTTAGCAGCAGAAAGGCAGAAGGATACAGCAGTTGTAGCCAGAGTGAGCCTTACTCATTTAGTTTGCATAAGAAGAAGAAATTTACAGATCTATTTTCTTTAGTAATGCTGGTTTCAATTTTATTACTAGAAATTCAAGCCTTCCAGTCTTATACTCATAAAGGGCACTGACTGACAAAAAAAATACATGTTATAATTCATTTAAAAATACATAAATATCCTGCTCTCTTTAGAGTGAGAATAAGCAAAGAGAGGTAGAAGGTTCCATGGATCCATGTTTTGCTCAGTGATCTAACACAGGGTTGTGGGGGTGCCTTGAGAATAAGGCAAAAGTTCGTGGAACAACCTGGCAAGGATGTCAGTCTGTACCAGTTTACATACATGAAATGGAATGAACCTCGTAATGGACTGGCAGAGTGACCCTGGCATCGGGACAGAGGGTACTTATATTTTCGACGTAATCATCAAATATGTGGAACAAGAGTATAAGCTGAATTGGAATGGCAAAAATATATCTTATATTCTTAGCCAGATTTGCTAGTTCATTGTGAGCAAACACATGAAATATGTAAACAACTTCAGAACTTGAATGGTTAAAAGCAGAAGGACTACCTTTTTGTGTGTGAAAGGTTTTAATCCTGCCAGGTCATTCATCAGTCAGTGTCAACATCTAAGACTCTGAGTACTGTTGTCCCCTCTAAGTAACTTCCTCGGGCAATAAAGTTTTACCAAATGAGACGCCTTACCCTCGTTTCAGTAAGATTATGTGAAGTGGCCTCTGGTGATTGGACAGTCTGAGCTGCGTGTTTCAACACATTCTCTGTGGTTCGTGCTGGACACGCCCACTAGGCACTAGGGCGTGATGTAATGCAAACAAGGTTGCATTACTAGATTACAGGTGAAATCCACCGATCTATAATAGACGTTTTATTTTTTTTTCTTTTTAGTCAGGTTAGCTGATATGATTAACAGGTTTTAGGCTGTGAATTTGTCAAAGAATACCCAGTACAATAGCATTCCTAAGTACAATTTCCAGTTGTGAGTCACCATTACCATTTTTTAAATTATATAATTCATATAATTTCAGTTATCTTGGTTGACCACTTGGTTCCTGTCCCAGACAGCATAGGGTGAAAAGCTGGGATACATCCTGGAAGGATCCTAGTTTATCGCAAGGCACACGCACACACACACACACACACACACACAATCATACACTATGAGCATTTTTTTGACACTAATAATCCTGTTGGACTTCAGGAGGAATCCTGCAGGACATGTGCAGAGCAGGGGCATGATCCAAACCCCGCTGCTACAAGAGAATCATTTTGTCATATAATTTTTCAGTGTATTCTTCAATGTTGGAAAATGTTTAGACATTTAAGGCTGGCCACTAGGAATTATACAATACATAATTTTATATAGGAAAGTACATATACACAATGTCAGATTAAATAAAAAATTCAAAGTAAACGAAAAATATTTAGTAATATAAAATTCCACAGTCTAGCTGGGAAACAGGTAAGCTGGAGGAGACAGTTACAACACTGTCTCCATAAAATGCTGCTTTTCCACCCCAGCTGCATTTTAGAAGCCATATTGACTTCAGTCTCTCCATTCACAGTTTCATATACATTTACAAAGAATTTACCAATAGTACAAGACATAACCATTTTACTCACTAATACTCATTTACAAATAGCCTTTGTCATGCTGACTGATACTTCTGCAAAGCTTGGTGTAGCGTGAAATTCTATCCGAGGGCCAGAGTTGGCAGGTTTGATAAGGAATCGGGGGAAACAGGTCATGCAGCATGTCCCACTGCAGGAGTTTCAGCCAGCGCATTAGGGCCAAAAGTGGCGTTTCTGCTTTCTGTGCCAGGCACAGGGTCAGACAGCGTACAGCTTGCTGTGGTCGGTAAGACGGGGGTTTGGGGGGTTACTGGTTGAGTTTGACTGATAGGTTACACTAGCTGACTAAAAAAAATCAGGAAAGCCCTTTTTAATGTTCCCACGCTGCACCTCTTTCAGCAGTCCACTCTATTGCTGAGCTCATTTTTTACTGACCTGTTAGCTCTGATCAGAGAACAGCAGGTTTACTGCAATAAGACACCTGTAGTTGCCAGACAGGTCTGTTCGGTTACTCCCCTGTGCTTTTGCTTCAAGTTCAGACCTGTGATCCCAAAGCACACATTGTTGTTATGGGAAATGTGGAGACGGAGCATGTACTCCCTGCTTTTCGCGCTACGGTGTCTGCTCAGCCTACCTGGTTCTTACGGCGTACCCATGCAGGCGGGCTACAGAGCCCTCGAGTTTCAGCCATCCATGCTGGACTTCCAGGAACAGTAAGTATTACCCCCTATGTTCTGTTTAACATCTCGCTTCCTTGGTGTTTAGGTCTTTATTATTTCAACAGTTCATAAAGTTATTTTATTTTACCATTTATACAACGGTAGTATCTCAGATAACTTTAGCTATTCGTCAATTTTTAGGTCTGAAGGATCTGAAAGAGCTGAAAAAACTTGTTTATGAAATTTCACCATGTTTTACTTTGAAGAAGGAAACTTAGGTGAAAAAAAAACCACAGACAACACAAAATTACATACTTGGGGTTTTATGAAGGTTTGCAAGATTTGAAAGTTTAAAGTATGCATTATTTGATTAAATGTGATCCAGAATCAGAAGGGTGTGCTCCAGTCAGTGGGAGTGACCTGAACGACATTACGACACCTGCACAACAAATCAGCGGCAGGTGTGCAGGTGGATTCTTTTATAATGAGCATGTGCTCTAATGAGGAAATATAGCTCCTATCACATTTCAAATTTACATTATTACAAATGTACAAATTTTACATTACAACAAATGTACAAATTTTATTATTAATCTGGCTAACTATTTTGTTTGTTATTCTGTGATTGTTATTCAGTGTTTACTTATATTCCAGTTCAAATCGGAACAGAATAATTCATTAAATAGACGAATTCATTTCTGTTCTTTGGTGTACGTTCCAGCTATTTCCAGTGTACCAATGTAAAATGCTAAACAGTTAGTGATGGTCAACATGTACACATTAGGCTCACTGCATTGGAACTGTGGACTACCTACAGTTTGGTTTCTTTATAGTTTGCAAGCTGATTTTATACAGACTTCAACTGGACCGGATAATACTTACGAGTAACCTTGCTTTTCGTTTTTTTGCTGATTAATTTTTAATAGACTTAGCATTAGGAAATTGTACTGGTGAAGTAACCGTAATGGCCGTGTGTTCTGTCATGTTTTTAATATCCGTGCAGGGCTGTTGCGATACCAGAAATAAGAAAAGTTTATTTACACAATCCAAGTTCAGAAGAAACTATCATTTTAATATCAATATCTGCAGCAACTTCACATTTTTACACTTCATTTTTTCAGAACAGGGTAAGTACTTGATCACTTATTTTATTATAATACTGTAATAATTTTGCAGCTTATTAAAACTATACTGTCCCTTTTTTTTTACTCCAAAAATAACATAATGTTCCCTTATTCAGATAATTCCACCAAAAGGAAACACATCTTTTGATGTAGTGTTTCAAGCCCGAGTCGTAGGCAATGTGGAAAACACCTTTTTCATTAATACATCTCGCCATGGCATTTTCACGTACCAGGTAAGTACTGAAAGGTCACGAAATTTCATGCCACAGAACTGCTGCGGAGATAACACACTTTTCACCAACGTCCCTTTTGAAGGTGTTTGGTGTGGGTGTACCCGACCCTTACAGACTGCGACCCTTCACTGGGTGCAGAGCAGCGTACACGCTGAACAGCAACCTTTCACCACTGGTAAACAATCCGAATCCATGCAGAGAAGCATTGCAGGTACCATCCTTGCTCTCTGGATGTGTGTCACTGCTCTTTGTTATGTCTGATTTATCCAGCAAACATGATCTCAGCAAGGTTTCTCATCAGTTGCGTGTCATTTTGTGTTGGATCCATTCAAATATTAAACAAAAAGTGGGAAAAAGTTCAGTTTTAGCGTAAGTTATGTCCACCTCATGGCAGATACTGTAAAGTACTCAAAGCTGTAATGTAGTGTGGAGTCACTAGCATCAGTTGTACATTATTTATACACATATGTAGCAGCCAATAATGTTATAAGTACTGTTTATGTAGTAACTGCCAGTAACGTAATGATTTTTCCATGCTTTGTGTAATATATCAATAATATAATAACGGTCTTGTCCTATTCCAATAACTGGTCAATAATTTTATACATTTTTGACTGAGGAATAATATTACATTATTGGTAAAGTATTGCATTATTGGCTTTTATTACATTAAGAATGGAAAAAATATTATGTTATTGCACTATTGGCTGCTACAACATACAGGCAGAATATTTAATTAATCTTCTATCACTATTCATCACACATAAATAATCTGGTTAATGAACTAAAATAATAAAATGCATGATTCAGAGGAGTTTTTAGCTTCTCTGGTGAGATGCCACAGTACAATACTTTTAAACGCCTCTGCCTGGTTCCTTGCCTCCAGGTGGGGCAAATGCATGCCAGGTCAGAGGACTTTTACTTGGATCTGCCCAACGGTCAGAAAGAAGATACGACATTATGGGTTGGTCTCCAGCATGCATGCATTTTATGATTTTTGAAATAAATTTTTCCAAGATAGGCTATGATTTTGGTCAGCAGTAATCATCCCTTCCTTTTTTCAGTTGACGTGGTGAACTCGGGATACTGGCTTGCCTGACGTTTTGTCCGCTTAATGCAGGAGATGCCTTCAGTTGAGAAAAAAATGGTAATGAAGACCAGCATCACCTCAAGGGTCAAAAACAACCGTACAGGTTTGCTCAGAATCAAAGCCCGGTCTCCCACCCAGGAGAAGTATATCATCCTTCCAGTGAAGATGGTGATACCTACAGGTACCAGTACAGATCACAGTGTCCCAGTGATGATCAGGTTGAGCAAGCCTTCTTCAGCCAATGTTGACGATTGTTATTCTGCCATAGTGCCTGGTGTGTACATTTCTAAAGAGATGCTGGATTTTGGTACACTGAGATCACAAGGTAAGCCAAACTTATAAACAGATGTCTTCTCCTAAAACTTTCTTCCTGAACACAGTCAATGGTCAAAAATACAGGGTATCTTTGGCAGCAGCTAAATGAGGTGCATGACTACAACTTTATGTTCTTGCATGTGACTTCTGTTCTCCCTATTTTTGTGTTTATTTATTATGCAGATCCTTCAAAACATATGAACGTATACCTTATAAATTTAGGAACAAAGGATGTACCAATTAAAGTAGGTATCCCTTTTTAGATATATATATATAATTGTCTAGTTGATCTTTCTTCAGTAGTCTAACATTTTGTTTTTATTTACAGAGTGTTAACCCTATGCCATCAAACAAAGCCCTCACAGTAGACTTTGAACCAGTCAAAGTGAAACCAGGAGAAAATATCAAAGTTGCAACTATTAGTTTCCATGGTAAGTTGTAGAATCATTAAATTATCAAGATTGCAATGTGTTTTGAAGCATTTTTTTTTGTCAAAGAACTGGATTAATGTAATGGGTTTGGTGCTTCCACAAAATGACTGTGTCTAACTATAGAACTGGGTTTCCTAGGAAGTGGATGTTTATTATTACAAATTCTTGCTATATATCATTCTCAACATTCTCATCTGTCATAAGTCAGGTCTGAGCCACACTCAGCTTTACTGGTGGAGCCTATTTGTATAGGTTTCAAATCTCCCTAGGTTTCTGCCTTTCCTCCAATCCATTCAGTTTTTTTTAAAAAAATGCTGACTGCGAATCCCTTTTGGTGCATGACTTGTGTAAACTCTGAATCCATTTTAGTGTTTGAAAAAAAAACTGTTCTGCAGAATTTCCACAAAGTCAACAAAACCACCCAAAAAGAAAATTTAAATAAAATGTGATTGCACCTGCCGACATATCAGTGTAGTATTCTGAATTTTATGATGTGGAAATTTATTTTTCAGCATCAAAAGTACGTAAAAGGTCTCAAATGTCTGGTAAAATAACAATAAAGACAAATGAAGAAAGCTACACATATCTTGATATTCCATACAAAGCTGAAGTTTTCAATGGGTAAGTAATGCATTAACCTTATAGCTAATGCAACACAAAGAAAAATACTACAGAATTACTGAAAACTGTAGTCATATAATTTGTTCTACCCCCTCTCTGCCTCTGTTACCATTATATCCCATTCATCTCCTTTTCGGAGATCAAGAACCTAACTCATTGGTTTGATTAGACCCCCTCCATCTAACTGCAAGCCAAATATTATGTCTGTCACAACTTGAAGGACGAAAGACTCGAGGGCAGGCATGCTGGTGAAGCAGAAAGGGGTTTTATTGAAATAACTGAACAGGGACGGTAGACAAACAGGGTCACATTGGATCAGAAACAGGAAGACTAGAACTAGGAAGGGCACAGGCAACAAGAAGATTCGACCCCAATGACTAGACTGGGGAACACAGCACTGGAAAGCATGTATATATGAGATTAATAAGGGAGCTAACGAGAGGCAGCTTGGAGTGATTGGGTAAGACAAACAAATAACAGGTGCGGCTTGTTAGGGTCATGCTAGGGAGGAGAGAGGAGGGTCCGGTGGGTATGGCGGGCAGGACATGACAATGTCACAGTATTTATACTGAGCATTCCTGTATGTGACTATACCTTCACTTCTATCTTAAGTAATCTGGCTATGGATTATTACTATTCTGAGATGTGGCTTTCAGAACTTAGCCATGCGTATTTAGATCATTTCCCCCCTTCTTTCCATGCAGGTACCTCTGGTTTGACAGCACAGCTACTTTATTCCACATAAGAGACAGTCTAACCGAACCAGTGAAGAGACCCATCCTTGTAACCAACACCTACAACTTCCCAGTTCTAATCCATAATGTTTCCCTGGCAAAAGAGGCCAAGACAATGTTCAATGTTAGTGACAAGATCTTAATCAAAAAAAAGTGGAGGGATGGGTGGATGAGAATTGTCATTGATGGAAGGATATTATATTCAAATTATTGTTTCTGAATGTGGGGATAATCAAATTAGAAGTGATTTCTTCTGTAAATGACACATTGCACTGTCAAGACTATGGATCATGAAGTCTATGAATTCTTATATCCAGAATGTTGAGTAACCTGTCTGTGTTGCTGTTAGGTGCAGAACTTCAGCCAGCCGATTCTAATTCCTCCACATGAGTCACACTACCTCTTGGATCTCCATTTCTGGCCTGTGAAAACCTCGACTTACATTGACAGCAACATTGTACTCATCACCAACGTGTCAGAGTTTCACCTACCTGTCAGGGCTTTCACTGGCTTCCTAGAGGTATGCCCCTAAGCAGGCCATAGTAATTCTTACAGCAGTTATTACTTAACATTATTTGTAAGTCAAGTGCCTTCCCTGCACCTGTCCTCCACATCTCTGAAGCCTTTTTTTAACTGGTGCGGTAAGCTTTTTTACGTCTTGGACACTCCCTACTTTATTAAATAATATGAAATGTGATAAGACCCATATTGCATCTACTGTAACATGCTCTTTAGAAAAGTATATATTACCTGTATTAATTTGTAAATAATAGTATTTGGCCATTTTTTTTGTCGCTTTCCCCTTGTCCACTGTCCATCAGGTCCTGGCTCTTCCTCCTAGTCTGGAACAGCACTGGATGGACTTTGGTGTGGTCAACCTTAATAAAACTGTCAGCATTTTGCTGGCAGTTATCAATAATAACCCAACTGAGGTAAAAGCACTCTCATTCTTCGCTGATTTCTGTTGATATCTCAGAGTGCACAAGCTTAATCGTGCAGGCACTGACTGTCACCACATCTTCTATAGCTGCAGATCAAGTCCTGGAAGGTCACAGGGGACAGATTTTCCATTGATCTGTTAAGATCTGAACCGGGGAATAAAACAACTGCACTGTCAAAGACAAAAGTTCTGCTAAATGCATCTGCATCATATCAGAAAACTGTAAGTTTAGGGTTCTTTACAAAATTCTGAAATTCAATAAACCTATGACTTTATACAGCACATGAGTGTGTACTATATTTAGTTCAATATCTTACATTTTGAAGAACGCAACTGTATTTAGAGTTGGAAATGATCAAAGAAATCAGTCTGATTGCTTTTTTGTCTCTGGCCAGGTGATATTATCTTCAGGATATTATGCTCTGTTCCGCGTCACACTACAGGCAAAGGAACTCAAAGGAACATATGATGAAGCAATTCGTATTACATCTGATTACGAAGTGCGTGGTAATTCCTTGCTACTACTAATACTACAGTTATTAATAATAAGTTATTATCCTACCTGTGGCACAATGATCTGTTGTGGGTAATTCTGTTAGAGCTACTTATATGCTGTCTTTTTCCGTACAGATATTAACCATCCCAGTGAAAGCTGACACAGCAGTTGAAGCATTGACTAGCTCACCAAAGCAGATTATTCTACCAAAATGCTTTCCGGTAAGGAGAAACTTCACTCACTCATGGATTTTCCCTACCACCCATTAAAACACTCATCAGACGATTCTGTAGTCATATAATTTGTACAGAGTGTAAATCTCAATGGGTTGTATATCCTCCTGAGACCCCACCCATTCATTTATGTCCATTGCAGTGGACATTTTGTTTTTGCATATATCTTTTCACTAATGTAAGGAAACATATTTATTCCTGTTGTACACTAAAGAGGACATGTTGTGAAATTAAAAATAAAAATTAATTTGAAAAAGATGTCTTATTTCCTCCAAAGACAGAAAATCACAATTAACCTAAAACTGAAGGACACTTTTTTCCTTGGGTCTCATGAGGATAGAAAGGAGCTGTACATCTAAGATTTGAAGGTGCTAGAAAATGCCAGCTAGTTCTTATTATGGGTCTGGTATACGTGCCACATAAACTGTGTGCCGAATGTCGCAGGTGGAAATATCACCTCCGTGGTCTGTCATTTCGTTTCCCATTCCAGGGAAAGGTGGTTCGTCAAAGCTTAGGCATTGTGAGCTGCTTCTCTCAGAGCGTGAAACAGCTACACATCCGTCGTGTGACTGATGATACGCGCTTCTATCACAGGAGGTTAAAAACAAGCAAGATGGACCTGGGATCAAGACAAAGGTTAAAGGTGCTTAATTTCAGCTCCCTTTTGGGAGACTGCTTTGGCAAACGGGCTTTAATGAAGAATGTCATTGGATGTTAATAATTAGTTATTGAAAACTGAATGTGTAATATTCTACTTAATAGTTTCTTAATTTTTTAGATAGCAAACATTTATTTTGATGCCAGTTTGGAGTGTGGGAATCAGTGTTATGTTGGACTACCATTTCGTCTTAAATGTAAGTAGAATTAAACAGCCACTTGTTTTACTGATGTTCAGAGCCTGTGGCTTGTTCGTATTCATAGTGATTTTGTGAACTGTTCCCTTTACAGCGGAATCCACATCACATGGGCTGCAGATGCAGCAGGACCTATGGAGTTCAGATGCAGACTTGCACCAAACACTTCTTGAAAGATGGAGAAGTGTGATGGAAAACTCTGGGGACAAGTACGTAGATTATAGTAGTTATAATGTTTCAATATTTACTCAATGAACACTCAAGCTTGTCAGCAAGAAACAACCTAGACTTACTAGACTTTTGAAAAATCTTGTTTGGAAGGGTGAACGCCATCTTTGAGATGAGCACTGCTCTTCAGAGTAACATGCAAACTGAAGTAACAGCCCAGATGGTGTGGCCATCGATAATTAACTCCTCACGCGAGATCATTTTCCCCTTGACCCAAACCCACAGCTCCTCTGTAAGTTGAAACACTTTCACACTTACGGACCCGTTGTCAGTTCTGAAAATGTCTAATTTCTTAGCGTAACCATGTAGTTTTGTGTTATGTTGTGTCACCATGTAAAGATCTGGGATGGAAATCATTGCAGGGCTGCTTAGCACATTACTCTCATATGTCCGCAGGTTAAGGAACTGGTCTTACAAAACCCAGCAGACGTGCCACTATACATCCAGATTCTTCCCTTAACGCTGTATCCCAACTCCTCTGACATGCTAGACAATCTAATTGACAGGTCAGTATTTTGGGACCCTTGAATGGTTTTGGCCTCATCAACGGTGCACTAGTCATAAAAAGGCATGTTCTACTTTGAGGAACAGGCTTGTTTCCCTGCTGTGGTGCAGAGATGTCAGGGCTACACGTGCCATGGACCTCCTAGCACTTTTCACAGAGTGTGCACCATAATTCAATGACATTTCCACCATGTTGGTGTTTTTGAGTGAGACTGACTGCCTATCCATTCTGAATATGAAGGAAAAGTAAAGAAAATATAACAATATCAGCAGGTATGGAAGCCCAGAAAGTTGATACATTATTATTATTTTCCACCAAAAGTTATTTTCCGGTATTTTTTTCCAAGAAGTGTCACTACTATTTTTTTCCGCAAAAGCTGTTTCTCGCTATTTTTTTCACACAGTAACAAATAACATCACATGCCTTGTGGTTCTATCAGACAACAGACCTGGTGAAAAAAATAATGGATACTGAAACCACCATATCCTGGATCCAACAGTCACACTACCTTCGCTAAGATCACATGAGCTGTTCCGTTTGCTTTATATATTAGGTTTTAGTCACATGACTCAGTGTTATGGCGAGCAGGCTGTTGATGTTAACATGCACAGGCACCTAAGGAAGTGGCCACAGACAACCAGTCAAACAGAAAATGTCAGTTTTGCGAATATAATTGTGTTTCCTTGTTCCTGTTGTGCAAAATGCAGTTGCACTTAAACAGCTGTGCTCTTTTATATACTGATTGTAATACTGTATAATATAATACTTTGTAATAATAGACATGTATAACAATAATACATTTGTATTTTGTCCTATTTTTTAGGGCAACCTGGATTAAGTTTCCCCACATCAGCAATAACACGCTAGAGTTTCATGTTCAGAGCAATCAAGTAAGCAAAACTGCACCATTTATGCAGATCTCTTCACTCCATATTTTCTTAGTGTAAAGTGCAGGATTTGGAGAAGAATATTCTAAGAACACTATTCGTTTCTGCGTATCTTATAATATTAAATACATAATGAATTTTAAAAGCAGCATAGTATAATAATAATTTTTTTATCCGGAAAAGTAGACATGGCTGTAAGTTTAAATTGCAAAACATCACAAATAATTATTTTCTTATCCTGAAAAGTAGACATGACTATACCCAGAATTTGTGCTTTATTTTTTTTCCAGACATCCTTAAACAAAACTGTCAAGGAATTTGAAGAATTCCCAGCACAACCTTTCGTATGCAACGCCATGTTATTACCAGGAGAAGTCAGATCTTTTAATGTGAAGTTCACTCCTGTCAGCAACCACACTGTGACTTCGCTTCTTATCATTAGGTACATTCAGAGTGTTATTTTTAATTCATTTTTTCACACTCTATATTTGGACTACATGCTAGTTAAAGATATTGCCTGGAATCTGTATAGTCTACCCTGAGTTATTATGTAAGATAGATTAATAATAATATCAGCATAATCAGACTTGGGAAAAAGCTGATTTACTGTTATCAAGTTTTATGTTAAATCCTATGAATAATTGCAAATACAATTGCTACTTTCGTACCAGCACACAAAATTGAGCTTTCTCAACAAAGATAATTGTTTTGTGTAGTTCAATCTGCAAGTAAATGGCTTTGCTCTTTTGAAGGAACAACCTGACTGTGGTGGAGCATGTGCTGTTACACGGCCGAGGTGCCTCTGAGAATTTAAAAGTCAGTGGGAAATCTCCTGGTACTCAAAGCTACCTAAAGTTCACGATTACAGAGTCTCTGCTGAAACACTGCACAGAGAGTGAGTAATTATGACTTAACACTGAGATGGTGCCAAAGAATCAGCATTCAACATTTATTGTGTGAACACTGATGGAAAACCGTGTTCACATTTTACAGCAAAAGCACCATAGAAATTGTAATAAACACTTTGTGTTTGCCACCAAATGATTGCAGAAAGAATGAAAAAAATTGCTGTTAAAGGACTGTAAATGTTCAGGTCTTACAAAGACTGGATAGGCTGGCAGAGACGGTGGGAACTCAAGACTCTTTCAGTCTGCTGGTTGAAAGAATGGTAGTTTTGAAGAACTGGTACAAAGGGTTGGGTTGATAAAGTCATCAAGTCAAAGTATTAGAGTCAAAGAAGGCAGAAAAATAGTCAGATTGTGGCAGAAATGTATATATTTGGGGCTACATTGTTGCATGATGTTATATTTCATTGACTGTTCTTCTTCACTCTCGTCCTTCACTGCAGGGGTGAAACCCAAGCAAAATTTCACACTCCGAAAAACATTTAAAGCTGAGAACACTGGGGAGGTTACAATCGCAATCAAATCTACTGAAATCGACAACCATATTTGTGCGGCACATGGATTTAAAGTCGTCGACTGCCAAGAATTTACGCTTAAACCAAAAGCGTCAAAAGACATTGTTGTATTGTGAGTTTACTTAAAAACTGTTGGTTTACTTAAAAGCACTGGAAGTCAACTGTCTTAAAATCAAATACATGTTGATGTATTATTGAGATTTTAATATGTTCAGTCAAACCTGTATTTACTACACGTAACGTCATTCAAACCTACTCTGTAGCTGTCATACACTTTACATTGCCACTCATTGCACCCTAATTTAAAAAAGCCACAAGACACCACAGTGCTATTTTTTAACCTTCTCAAAGCCATGCCCTGCCATCACTCTTCTCTAGGTTCACTCCCGATTTCAGTGCCTCGCGATCAGCGGCGGGGCTGCGGCTGGTGACTGCTGGCGGCTCTGAGTTTTTGTTTACATTGAACGCCTCACTCCCATATCACATGCTGGTGGCTTGCAGCGAAGACCTGGCCAGGCCCAGCTGGGAGCTGGAACTCTACATAGGCATCTCTGTCATCATAAGGTAAACACAAAGAAGAGCTAGGTAGGGAACCATGGCAACAGTAATACAAAGGGAAAGCCTTAGTCATGTTGGGGAACTGAATTAACCTCAAAGATTAAATCAAACTATATAAATGTTCATACAAAGTAGGTAGACATTTTTACATTTGCTCTGATCCTTTTTCTGAAAGTCTTGGATGACAAGGATTAGTTCTCTCACTGAACTGTTGCATTCACTCCTGCTTGATGCCTTGTAGAAGGACAACAGTGGTAAAAAAGTCCTTTGTCTTCAGCTTCATGTTCCTTCTAGTGATGGCAATGGCCTACCTTGAAGCCAAGGGAATCTGGGAACCATTTAAGAGGCAACTGTGTTGTGAAGGATCTGATGCTCCATCAGAGGCAGAAAGAGCGTCGATTCTCAGGGAAACTGCGCAAAATCAAACAGATGCCAAGTAAGTAAGGTCTTTAAAACACTGTGCTGTGTGGTGTCCTGTTGTGCGGTGTGCGGCTCAGTGTGTAGTTCAATTAAGCAATAACATATGAGAAGGAGTGTGGTTGTACTCCAGTACATCATGGCTGTGATTCAGTCGAAGGCACCAAGCAAGAACCAGCCCAGCACCGATTCCAAATGATTACCATACGCAGTTAGAATATGGATTATTACTGTCCTGTTGAAAACACATTACCATCTTAGACAGGCCATATAATTTCTTTCCTAGCCTGAATGACGACACAAACCACGATTCTACACAAGGAATGAACAATCCTGGCACTTCCTCAGTGCGGATCAATGGCCCACCATGTACCACGCAGTCAGAAACCCAGAGCACCAGCAAGACCTACTCCAACCTGGATGGCCTGAGGTCCAGGATTATTAACAAAGCCAAAGTGAGTTTTAGCAGGAGCTCCAGGCAGTCGCAGCCGGCGCAGCAGCAGCTGGCATCCAGTTCCCTGGACGTGCAGACCTCCACGGCTGCAGTGCTCTCCAAAGACCAGTCTGCAGACACCCCCAAGACTGTCCCTGAGACTAGGGCTGAGGCTGAAGGCAAAACACCTCAAAGCTCAACAAACTCAGATTTCTCCAGCTTCGCCGGAGCTGTGGACAAGAACCTAGGGTGCCAGAATGCTTCTCCAACTAAGCTGCTCCAAAACCAGCAGGCCCTACTTTCACCAAGCAAAGGTATCCATAGAAAACAAAAGAAACTGCACAACCATAATAACAAATGGCAAAAACATATATAACTACTGACTTTACTGAGCCTCAAGTGACATTTTGGCAAACATTTCATTCCTTGTTTATGCTGGAGACCATTTCAAGTAAGTCACATGCCACATAACGAGATTTAGGTCAACGAAGGGCCACATATACTACTGGCCAAAATTATGGAAACACCTATCGTTATTGACAAAAGTTACTATACAAATTTTGGCAATAATGTTTATAAACAATCAAAAAATGTTACAAATATCATTTATTGGTTGATTAAATAAGTAACTGAAGCAACAGTTGAACAAAGTAATCTCTAAAAATTGGAAGTGTTTCCATAATTTTGGCCAATAGTGTATACAACGGTGATTATAGCGGAGAGAAAAAATTCCTATTGCCTTGCCACACATTACTAAAATGTTTGTGGTGATTCTGGCATGAACAAACCTACTGCCTTGCCAGCCATATAAAAGTATAGTATGTACAACTGTGTACAGTCCATGATACATGATAATGATGATACACAACGGTGATACTGGTTTATACTATGAGAAATGCATCGTTGGCTGATTCTGCCATTGTGAGAACATCATAGAGTGTACTTACACAAACCTAGATAATATAGGCTTCATGGTACACCTTAATTAACGATAAAAAGTACAGCATAGTGAATATTGTGCATGACTGTACAGCAAAACATGTTTCATTGTAAAGAAATTTAGCCGTGAAATTATTTTTTTTAAACGTTTCCTTTTCAGATCAAAATTATTTGAATTAATACTCATTTCTTTATTTCTTTGGTGTTCCACCATCATCTGCAGCTTTCGGGTATTAAATAGTTTCTCTGCTTCAAGGTTCTGGAACAAAACGGAAAATTCTGAATAAACCCCAGGTCCAAGACCAGCCCAAGGAGAAAGAGCAGAAGTCAAAGGTAAGGCCTCAAGGGGAAAAGTCAAAGAACACACTGAGCAGCTATGAAGACACGTCCTCCACAAACATGCCGGGCCTGGATTCAGTGGGGTCAGGGTCAGCTGGACCAAAGCGTTCCGAGATACGGTGGTTATTAAAAGTCCCATGACATTCAAGTGTGTGTCTGTGTGTGTGTGTAGCTTATTGAACTGGTTGTTTCATTTCTAGTACCTACATAATGTTGTCTTCTTGTTGCCTAGGATGTCATGAAAACCAGGCCATTCATGCTAGAAAAGGAAAAGGTGGAGGGAACTGCAGCATCACCCGCGAAATCTGACAAAAAGAAGCCAGACACAAAAGACGCCGTTACAGATATAAATTCCAAGTAAGTTCAGCCATGGATCTGAACAGAACAGCCACAGTCCCCCTGTGACCCCCTGTGACTCATACAGAAAACCTCCCTTTCCAATCCTCCAGTTCGCTGGAGCTGCCATACTTAACTGCCCACGAAATCAAACGCCGCAAACGGTCAGAAGCAAAAACCTTGAAGCCTCCTCCACCAGCTAAGGGCCCCCAAATCAAGAATACGGAGACAGGTGGGAGACGCTGGAGAAGCACTTTGTGTTATTTTCCATATTGGTCCCTAAATGCTACAAGGCCTATTTGAGGTGTGACCCTTTGAATTGTCCTCTCCAGTGTCCGGCGAGCACACAGAACACTGCCATCATCACCCCCTTGAGAAGCAGGCTGATGCAGTGGCAGAATCCGGAAACATCAGCAGTTCTGAGGAGGAAAGTGATTCTTCCCTTCCTCCAGAGTGGGACTCTGTCCCAGTCCAGCCAGTCAACAGTGGTAAATAATTCCGAGATACCGTTTCAGAGACTTCCCATTTTAAATGTTTAATTCAGCACATCTCAATTAGGCTTCTTTTGTGCCTTTGCTCTCAGGTGATGACGGCCTCTACCAATTATCTATGCAAACCATGAATGCAGACACTTTCATAAAAAGATCCACTTCCACAGCATGTCCACCTCCTGCCACTTCCCTCAGCCTGATAGCCCATGGAACAGATAGCAATGTGGACTGCACAGCACGGTAAATTACCCAGAATTACTGAGCAGTGGCACACATAGTCTTCATTATAAGTTATAATATTAGATATTTTAGGCAATCTTCATAATTGTTTTTCTCCTAGACGTTATCCTATGTGTTTATGCTTACAGTAACACCCAATTTAAGAGAGAGCCTGGAAACACAAACAAGAAGTTGACAAAATCCGTCTCTTTACCTGATAAATGTGTCAGTCTCATCACTACTGTTGTGGCGGCAGATTATGACAAAAGTCCAGGTAAGTCATTCATTTTTTTGAGGCCAGTCATTTAAAATGTCCCAGCAGGGTGGGAGTAGCTCATCTATTATGTTGTTCTCAGGTGGCAGCGGTCCGGTCATGGGGACGTCTAGAAAAGGCAACATTTCGGGGGCCGTGTCCTTTCCTCCGGACAAATCCATTTGGAGCTACGGGCCCAACAGGTTAGAATAGGCATAGACCTGCCGAGCTTCAGAGCAGTAGAGCTATTTGTGTTCTGGAAAATTCCAAGTGCTGTTACATCAACACACAAAATTATTCTTACTGATTTATAACTTTAGCATTATCAGGAGTAAAATTAGGTACAGTGGTACCTCGGTTTTCAAACTCACTAGAATTCGAATTTCTTGAAAGTCGAACAAACCAGTTTGACCTAGAACTCGATCTGAATATCACAAGTCGAACCGTCAAGGCCGACCTAATATAAATTGTACGCGCCAGGAACTGAGTCATACTACAATGCAATTCTTACTTGAATTTTCTTCACAGACTGGACGATTAACCAAATAAAGCAGCGCAACATTACAGTAACTAACAATAAATAAACCACTAACTTACGTGTACTATTAGAGCATTTATGTAATTTATTTAAACTATATTTTACCAGGTAAATTAACTAGAAACCAGTTCTCACTGCTTTACGTGATATTCGGGAGAAATAGCAGATTACGCATCGGAACTGCCTGGGATACAAACGTCATGCGTGTAACTAAACTCTTCAGCCAATAAGGGCAAAGGTGTGTCGTCACGGAGGCGTTCCAGTTTGTGCAGCCGGGTGAGAGGTCGCAATGCATCTAACCGTAATGCATTGCGTCAGGATCAGAAAGCATTGCTTTAAGCCAGCGCTGTAAGCAAG